AACGGGGTGTGGGAGAGGGAGATGAAGCTAAACAGAAAAAAGAAGAGGAAGTATGAGCCTATTGAAGGGGGGAGGGGGAGGGGGACAACTTTTTGTCTATGAGACCGGTTTTTACCGGAAAAAACCCCCCTGATATTTCCAATCTCTTTTAAACTTCTAAATTGTAAGGCTCTGAGTAAGACATGAAGTGCGTCAGAACTCCTCTTTGGTCGCCTTCGTTTTTCAGAAACTTTAGGTAAAGAGGAGGAGATATAAATAGATTATAATCCCACTGCCCTTGAACAGGTGACGTCTTTGAAGGAGACATTGTGACCCAGCTATTACTCAGTACAAGGCATCACTGTCACTTTATGCCGGTACAGTCATAAAATGCCTCCGTTGCTTGTTGCACTTTTCAATGCTACAGAGAAAGGTCAGCGTTTAAAATAAAGAAAAAAAAAGAAAAGGGGCCTCGTTTATGTCCAGTTTACAACAATTCATGGGTCGAGTCGAACCGCAAGAAATGTTTTATTGCAACGCTTTTTATTGCAATGTTTTATTCTTGTCTCAATGAATGTTTACATTTTAGAAACGGACCAATGTGTGGCGTAATTGTTGAGGCATCCTAAAGGGACATCAAAGACCCAATAAAGTAACAACTTTACGAGGTTTACGCAGCCAGGTCTGACTCGGCATAGCAAAACTTTAACTTAAGACGCTATTTTTGAGTTGCATCCATCAGTACAAAGATCCAACCAGTTTCAGAACATTATGTCAACCATCACCTTTAACTATTACAATATATAACAAAACCCTAACAATGTTTATTATGGTTTCTGTTGTGTGTATTGACAAAGACATTTTGGAGGCACTTCAAGGCAGAAATTGATACAAATCCGATTTTCTTTTGCCCTTACACAACCCGTGTCTGATCTTTTTATGACATTTTTTTTTTTACAAATGTTACCCAAACCACTTGGATATTTGTTTCTAGATGCAAAACCTATCGGATTTTTTTTTTTTACAAATGTGACCCTGTGCCTGTACATAAAAAAATGTCTCCTGTTTGGGACATTCTGTTCTACAGAAAACACCAGGTTTTGGTTTTATCTTAGACAATGCCCAGATGTACTGCGTGCACTTGACCAATTAAAAGAGCCATGAAAATTCAGAGAAAATCAGCCTTCCAAGGAGAGAAGAGATAAATCCTTCAGCATACAACAATCTGCTGAGGATCCAAATGATAAGGCAGAAAATAATCAGTAAGGTCTTAAATCCTCCGCTAAGAGCTTTGTACAGAGAGATGCAGAAACCAAATTCATTTATTTATTTGTTTTTTACTACTGCGTGGAAGACTGCAGAATTAAGCAGAACGTTAGTAGTTATCTCACATCCTCTGTTTGGTACTCTGTAGCAAAAGCTCTCCTGCAAACTATATAAAAATACCAGAAATAATAAATGTTTTCCAAAGTTTGCTTCACCCGTGTTCTCTCTCTCTCTCTTTCTCTCGCTCCATTTCTCTCTCGCCTTTTCACAATGACAGACGTTAAACATTATATCCAAATTGGATCTGGGAGATTTGAGCGCAGTCTGCATCTGCTCTGAGGGACACATACACTGAGGCGGCTGATTGTTTGAGGAGGCACCGAAAATTGTGCTGTCATGGTAGAAAATGCTGAGAGATTAATATGGGTGCATTTCGCTGCCATCATCTCGCTTTCATTATCGAGTAACAAGCACCGGAGAAGGGTGGGGGGGGGGGGGAAACAAAAAACAAAAACAAAGAAAAGAACAAAATAAATAAATCCCTGCTTTGACGCTCAAGCCTGAGATGCGAGTGTGACATTATGTTGACAATTCAGTATGTGGATTCGGTTCAGGCAGATGCAGACGTATCAAGGCGAGCCATTACTGTCTTTAGTAGATTGGCTTAGCTTTGTGCTGAGGTGTAATTGCGCAGCTGTCTGGCATTATCCCCCCCCCCCCAACAAATTGGTTTAGGCAAGAGAGCCTTCCAAATCTAACAGTGAGGAGGCTGCATACCGAGTCTCCGTATGGTTTGCTTCTAGAATTTGATAATTACTTCTTTTGCATGAACTTACATTTATCTGCCATCGTCAAAGTTGCGCATTGGCAGTTGTGAGAAGTGCAACATTGTGTGATCTTTCGAGAAAAGGTCAGAATGTGTCAACAGAATGACATTTTTATTGAATGTTCTGTCTTCTTACGCACGTTTCCATCGAGATGCAGTCGCTGAAGTTTTAAATCTATTCCGGTTTATGAATCTGTCGTGGGATCTCCTGAAAGATCCCACACCTAATGTCGCTGGAACGAACCAGACATTAAGCGGCTAGTGTGAGAACTGGCAATGGAGAAGAGGCATTTGTTTGTCTGTCTGCAGCAGCTGCAAGTTTTGCTCGCGCCATTCAGAAAACAGGTAAATGTGCTCTAGATCTGTGCTGGACAATTGCACTGAGGAAATCATTTTCTGCTACATCTGCCCACACAATATTGCTCTAAAAGGCAGTTTTTACCGTGGAAGAAAATCACTAAAGCCTTTCTTTCACGCAGATTCTAATTTTGTTCTTAATACAATCAAATTTGTCACAAATTTAACCTTCTCAAAACTGACAATATCTGCAACCTTACATTATTATGGTAAAAGTTACAAAATAAAATATATTTGATGGTGAACATAGTGCAGTGAATAGAGACTTCAAATATTAATGCTTATTCTTTTATATATATATAACATATTAAAGCTCCAAAAGTCCATCAGCATGTTTAAACCTTTCATACATACAACCCCCAACAACTTGGGCTGGGACCAAAGGGGGTGATGAGGGCATTAAAATGGCTGCTCTTAGTGCAACCTAAACACAATTTACCCAGGGCCAATGTACTGAATTTAAATTTGGTCTGTTTCAGTTAAATCCAATTAAATTTAATTGCAGCAAACATAAATTAACTACGACCTCTAAACCAGTGGACGTTTCTAGGTGCTGATCCAATCCTTATGTCTGTATCATTGCTCGTCTTGTGTAACCGTACCGATGACGGGTTTCAGCTTAGGATGAATTAAGTTTTTGAACAGACGACGTGCAGTTCATTTTCAAACTTATCCAGCAAGTAGAAACCTCTAAAAATTTACTAATGACAAAAACATTTCAGACCTAACTTTACTTGATTTTACGTCAACAAAATTAAGACTTAAACATTAACCATCTTCTTTCAGACAGTATGTAAATAGGCAAACACATCAGTTGTATATTTTTTCAATAAAATGATTAAGTACGATTTCTTTATGGTAAAATATAACCTCAGATGTCAAGTCGCATTACAACAAAGCTCCGAATCATGGATTAATTAGATTTTGTGGACACTGAATCCAAGTTTGGTGGAATTACAAATGTGCTGCTCTTCTGTAGTTATTTTAATCTTTAAAACGTAACATCTGATTTTAAAGGAGATATTAATAATACAACTAATCATCATCGTAAAGTTTAAAACTTTCCTTTGACACACTTTCTTTCCAGTCAGCACAAAAGTCTTTTGGCCAAAAAAAAATAAATAAAAAAATTAAGAAATAAAGCGCAACTGATGACTGCAAGATTTTTGAAGCCTATTTTTCAAGTTCATAAAAATGTGAAAGATACGCTCACATTTTTATATACGGACCTTCGACTGCCTCATAAGATAATTAATCAATGTCTGCTGGAGGATTACTTTTTTCCCTTTGAAGGAGAAATATCAACTCTTGCCAGCTTTGAGACCAATGAGTTTGTAGAATTGCACAATTTCACAACTGCTACAGTAAAATATTAGGCATTTCTGGAAAAAAGAAAATATCCGCAGCACATGGCAAAGCAGATAGGGTAGGATTAATTTAACACAATATATTCTATACACACTGGTGATCACATGGCTCATCACTTGTTTCTTGTGCTACTTTTTTCTTGCTGCTTTGTCGTGTACTTAATTTAACCCATTGACCATCCAGTACGACTACATCCACTTATTTTCACTGGAATTTTAAAATTGTTTTAACTGCTTGAAATGTTTTTAGAGAAAAACACATTTGACTTAGTACACATGTATTTAGAGCTCCCGTTTCCCCACTAAGGTACGCTGCTGAAGTGGCCGTAAAATAACACCAGACGTGCAGTTTTCAAAGAAAATCATTTCAGGGAAACTCACACCCAACAGAGAGGCCGGTTTTAGCGTGTGTTAGCGAAGCGATGTGAAATGTAAATTCAGGATTTCCCTTTCAAAGTAGCTTCGAGCTTTAAGGAATTGCAAAACGCTAAAATCAAAGTTTCATTTCAGCCCGCTGATGGTAATCCTCTTCCCATCGCTCGCTCCTTTGAACGTTTTTTGGTGAGGTTAAAAGAGGAACAATCGATAATGAAGTGAATCTGGCCACATTAGAGCCCCCATCTGGGATTTGAATGTTCTCTTCCCCCATAAATCCATAACATCAAGGTTAGAAATTGTGACGGAGCTAAAGGAGGGTCCCCCGGCTCCTACCCTCCCTCCTGATGCACACAAAGAACCAAAAACAATACAGCACTCTCAACCATTTAGGAATCCATTAGTATCCATCCATTTTTCCTCCATCATTGTCATTCAGAGGCGTTATCTCCTTGTGGAAGTGTGTCAGGATAATGACGGAAATTTACCTAAATCTCCCTCAACTTAAATGTCATTACACAGAGGCACTTACACATATAATACTAAAGACATGTTCACTTCCGTCTCCAAGGCGTTCTGTTTTGCTGAATCTGGTCACGTCCGCCCTGTTCCCTCACCTGTTTTCTACAGGGTCACATTGCACCTCAGCTAATTGAGTAATTAAATATTTTTATATCCTTGCTCGTGCAAGAGGGGCCAGCCATATAAATACTGTAAAAGCTGGGCAAAGTTTTAGCTTTGAAGGTCAACCTCGTAGCCCTGGCTTCTGTCGGCCTCTTAAATATTTTATTGCTTCAAAATGAAAAATAGGATCCACAATTCAAACATACCTGCAAGCCATTTGGAAAGCCTCAGCCCCAGTGTTTACAATAAACAGGGTTTCAGTCACTATATTTTGTCTTCCATCGGGGCGAGATCACAGTTTGTTCGTGTTCAGCGCTGAACCAGAAAGAGAAACAAAATTTAGCCACATGAATGACTGAAACTGACGGCAGGACCTTAAAGATGGCATGGATATGGGATTGATTTTTTATTTTTTTTAACTCTATAAATTCTTCAGAAAAGGATAGAAGTCACAAATATTTGCTATTTTGTGCCGCTGAATCACAGTAGCCAGAGACAAAACATAGAGTAGGCAAATTATTTAAAATATGGGTTTAAACTTAAGAAAGTGATCAACTGATTGAACCATCAAAACAACAAAATCTGCATACAGGTGTGGTTTTCATTTTACTCTCTATTAGGCATCGACACCCAACAGGCAAAAGCAGGACCCTGAGGTTTTTGAAACAAGAAAGTCAATTGGTAAACACCCCAAAAATACACTTGCACTAGACAAAAAGATCCAATGGACTTTCTAGGAAGACCCCAGACAGAAACGAAGGCAGATACTGACTGCAGTCCTACCATTAGATGGTATATGTGAAAGAAGCATGGTCATAGGCCAGGTCTCCCATCATGAAACAAACTTGCCTTTGATAAGGAACACCAAACACGGTCCATTTAAAAGTACTGATTTTTCCTGTACAGACAACAGTAATTCAGCTGCCCGTCACTGGCACTGCAACGCCAGTAATGTTTTCTGTGGAAGAGGATGCTCCATCATTATCTGCGTTTAGGTCGTGTAGGAGCGTAGAGCCATATCTGGTTATGTGGAGATCACCAGATTTGAATAAAGTCTCCAGGTAGTTTGAAAAAAAGAAAAACTCTCTATTGTTCCCATTGCCTATAAAGGAGAAACAGGCTCACAGCATCACATTTCCTCTCGCATGCTTAATACCGGGCATAAGATTTATTTTATTTTTTTTCCTACACCTTTATCCTTTGCTTCACACTTGCTCCAGAAAAACTCAATCTCAGTCTGACTAGAAGTACACAGTCAGAGTTAAAGTCCTAGAGTTCAGCAATCTCCACGTGTTTATATTTGCATTTGCTTTCCCCTGATGTGTCTTCCAAACAGCCAGGTGTCATGTAGACTCAGTCTAATGGTTTCTATGGAGACCCGGTGGTGACCAAAAGATGCCACTACCTGCTCTAGTTCTCTAACAATGAGTTTTGGAGACTCTCTCTTTTTTCTTTTTTTTCTTTTTGACTTCCCTTACCATGCTACTGTGTGTGGAGGCAAAAGAAATGCGGGTCTTTGTCCAGCCTAATGGCCAGTGCCGCCAGATACCAGAATGGTCCTGTATCTAAAATTGTGTGCAGGTGATTATTATGTGAAAAATACAGTTTCTCTAAAAGAAATGTTGTACATCTCTTGGCATTAAATGTGGATGGTGTTGTTTGGCCTACTGTCTTCAAATGTGCACAGTATATAGTGCCAACATTAAATGAACATGCACAAAATGGACCATTACAGAGCCTAAAATTTGCTCTTTTTTCCAATTTAAAATAAGTTACAAATATATTTGTAAATGAGGTGTTTTACAATATATTATATTAAAATAACACTGAAAGCCTCTGGGATGATTTTAAAACAAAATGTAAGTACTAAACCTCTCATTACCTCGGTTGTGTTTAACAGTGTAAAGACTGTAGGGAAGTTCTGTGTTAATGTGCATGGTGCTTTAAAATGCTTCAAGTGCTAAACCAGGATTTAAAAAATGGCCTCATATGAATACAGTAAGTCATTTAATTTAAACATAAATTCTAGAAAGCCTGCACAAAGTTCTTCTGAGGAGGGTCAAACATCTCTAAAGGTGGAGAAAAAGGTTCCTCTGCAAAACTATGACAAGACTGAAAACTATGCACCCCTTAGAATA